ATCTAACAGAGTTACAACCAAATGCTACCCCATAGCGGTAAAACAGGTATTAAAGGAATACTATATTCACCAGAACAACTACAACATATTGTATTTGTTTTACACTATAGGGAGTATAATCATTCCCTTCAGGCTTTTAGCAGTAAACACTGTATTTTCAGAGAAAATGCAGTGTTTACATTACAGCCTAGGAACACCTCCACTGGTTACTCCTCAGATGGGTGCTAGAGCTGCTTCCTGTGGCAGAGTTCATAGAGATGAATTGATTCAGTGCATCTCTATGAGGAGATGCTGATTGGCCAGGGCTGTGTTGATTTGTGCTGGCTCTGCCCCTGATCTTCCTCCTTTGCAGTCTCAGCCAATCCTATGGCAAAGCATTGTTAAAGCATTGTTATTGGTTTGAGAGAAACACTTCTGATTATGTCAGACAAGCAGGTAGATCAGGGGAAGCAGCAGTAGAGTCAGCTAAAAGGTAATACTTTGCTATATTTTTAAGGCTGCAAAGGGGCTAGATGGTGGTTTTAACACTATGGGGTCAGGAATACATGTTTGTGTTTCTGACCCTACAGTGTTCCTTTAAGGTGTAAAGGACAGTTTTGACACCTCTGGACTGCTACTGATATGTGATTGCACTGAAGGCCAATATGGCCAACATGATGGCCGCCCTTAAGTTATCTTTAGATATGTACTTACCCTTTCAAGCGCTTTAGAGGCACATAAAGTATTCTTTAATCATTTCTGTGCTTCATGATAGAGGTATCGCATATAAATGGGGTTCCAGAATTTTTTTTTAGCTTTACTCATAATGACTCACAGTATTATTTGGCTTCTTCAGCTAACCCGTAGGACTTTTTCAACCAATTAGGCATTGAGCCTCAGGAGCTACACTCCACACCCACTAACAACCATAAGGTGGGGCGGAAAAATATGTGTGTATTGATTGAATAACAAGATCTGCTTTCTATACAAAAAATTGTGTCTATGCCTGGTTGAGGCCTTGCCTGGCCTATTCTCCCAGTATATCTACAGGTAGCCGCCTGAGAGTTCTCCACAAATTTCCAACATATAGACGCTATGCTAGAACTGGTCCACGTCATTTTTTATACCCAAGTTATCTTTTAGCTGTCATTCGGTGCTGAGTTATCTTTTTAATTTTGTATACAATCGAGTTGGGTTATTATTCTATTCTTTTAAAAATGTTCTACTGTATTTAGACCCACTCTAATTGCAGCAGTCTTATTAGTAAACAGTGATCATGCTAACTGCTCATCTCTTTATAAGCGCCATTTCTAGTTTACAGTACTAGGGGAAGTAACGGTATTAGCATTATCTCGAAATAATGCATTCCATTAATATTGTTTCAGAATTTTGGGATTTGTGTTTGCTGCCAGAATTCTTGTCATCTCTCGTTTAATGCCATTGATAGTGTGCTGTATTGCTTTGGTTGGAATATTCAATAACATAGTTTGCCAAAAAAATATAGAAATGTCGATCGTTAATTTTTAGCAGTTAAGAAAATGCAAAGTGAGTGAACGGAAGAAAAATTTAAATGAAATCAATATTTTTCGTGTCCACCCTTGCCTTCAAAACAGTATTAATTCTTCCAGGTACAATTGCACCCAGATTTGTAAAGAACTTGGCAGTTAGTTTCTTCAGAACATCTTGGAGAACTAATCGCAGTTCCTCTTTGGATTAAGGCAGCCTCAGTTGCTTTTGTTTCTTCCTGTAAACACAGGAAGACTCAACTATATTGAGACTAATCCTGCTCTATTTCAATTCCAAGGCACTTTGTTCTTCTTCTCATTCCACATAAAAAAGTTGGGGTCAATCAGATGGTTGGCTGATGGCACCGTTGTTGGATAAGTATCTGCCTGAACTACCCAACTTTGAGGAGACCATTAATTCTAACCAAACCCACAACTCCAATGAGCTAAGCCGCCACTGACGAGCTTCGTTCAGTGAAGAGTGCTTTCGGGTCTCATTGAATAGGACTGGAGGCAGGGAGCATCATCTAGGAACCCAGGCAATAAGTGAAACAAATGAAGACAAATAGAGGGAGCTGTAGTAGTTATAGTGTTTACAGTGTCCCTTTAATATGTCAGTGGATTAAATGATTACTTTCTGCTGAATGCTTCTGCATTTTCATAATTTATAAGCCTTGATCTGTTGAAGGAAATAATTTTTATATGTTTAGAACATTTTAATTATCTTGCACTGTGAATAGAAAATATTTATATTTTAGATTCCTATCTACCAAGGGATTCATAGTTCCTCCATTCTACAGGATTCATTTTCACGATTAAAACAAATCAGTTAGATATGTCAATCCCAGGAGATTTCACTGAAAGCCTGAATGCTGGTATAAGCTATCATTAGTAATGATAGAACCCTTGTTAAACTGACTCAAAATAAGTCTCCATTCAACTAATGAACCCTCACCATCCTCATATCATCCTCTGAATACAATGAGGGCGTTCCATTAGCTCAAACCAAGTACCTGCCGCTTACGATTGTAGAACTGGGTTCATTTCAGTTCCCATAAAAAAAAAAAAAAATGCTGCATATTGAAAAATTTTATCTAAAAGAGAGGCACAATTAATAGTAGTATTATTTAAATCTTACTGTAAAGAGCTGTGTAAGTTGAATGATGCAAGTGTCCTGTGCATTAATATTAACTCACAATGCACAGGAAGTAAAGAATTAGAAGTCAAGAAAGAACATAATAATAGACACTAAGGTAGATATTCAGTTCTCCTGCCTGGGTCTTCTTCAAGTAGAGTAATTGGCTGATAGAAATGAACTTCCATGGTTAGCATTTACTGTTGTGTCGCTATAGAACTTAGTAGATCAAGCGCACTCCACATTGGCATGTGCAGCACATAATAATATACTGGCAACTAATACGTATTTAACTGACGTGAGTGTGGGACATTGTAAGGTTATCTATCTGTATCGCTGGAGACCAAGGTGTTGGTGGGCATCAAGTGGTGTACATGCATTCGTTAACTCACCTGTTCACCATATTGACACCATTAGCTTATGTCATGACGTAGACCATATTGACACCATTAGCTTATGTCATGATGTAGGATGCAATATAAGAAGCAATATTGTTTTTAGTGAATGCCTGTGCCTATCAAACCAATGCAAGCAACCATCTTACACTAACATATTGATACCTACCTGCATCATCAATCGAAAACAGTAATTCCCTATGTTGAAAATAGTATGATGTGTTTTGTAGGTAGTAAGATCTTGAAGCCATGCCTTTATACAACTGCCTTTATGGCCTTTCTTCCCAAACGTGACTCCTACTTCTATACAGTATTCTTAATTTGTTTGTGGCCAAATTGCAATTCATCTGAATTTAGGGTGATCGTTAATGGATGAGCTGGTGCAAAACAAAAAGGATTGTGCATTGAAGTTGAGTGTCTGTTATTAATTTGTGTTTAGTTTTATTTTATGTTAGTTTGTTCAGCACTAATATTCAGTTTATACTATAAAAGTATGTGTAAATACAAATTGGTCTCACTCACATATTGCTGAGCCTGCTAAAGTGGGCTCAGACTAAAAGCGCCTTGGAAGAAATATAGTTGTTGAGATAAGGAATTGGCACCAATAACAGGATGCTCTACGAGTTGCTGGATATAGATTCTCCCTTTGGGTTCCCACAAAGTCGAAAGTGATAGAAAGTAACCAGGAACAAATTTATTACAAAATAAATATAAAATATAAAAAGATCTCAAATAAACAACCGCATTGATGCGTTTCGACAACAGTCTTTATCAAATTGCGGCAGCGTGGTTGTATATTTGAGATCTTTTTATATTTTATATTTATTTTGTAAATTAAAATAAACTCATGGAGAATCCTGTTATTGGTGCCAATTCCTGATCGCAACAACTCTATTTCTTCCAAGGCGCTTTTAGTCTGAGCCCACTTTAGCAGGCTCAGCAATATGTGAGTGAGACCAATTTGTATTCACTATGGTCTACCATTTTTTGTCTTTTTAGGTATCTACTTATTGATGGTAATATTGTTTGTGTATGTTATATATACACCATTAATGTGCTCTCACCATTTTTTACATTTTTAATTCACTATTTTTGTGTGGTTTGGGTGACCTACACTAGGTGATTGTAGCATTTGTATACTTCTTTTATAGCAATGAGAAGAGAAAAAATGGGGTAGAGAATCCACTCACACAGAGTAGGTGGAAAATCCAACCCATTCAAATATACCTCCTTAATGTAAAATGTTACATAAATAGGGTAAATAAACCTTTATTAGAAAAAATGATGCTATATACACCAAAACAGTGTATGTAAATAGTGATAAAGTAAATACCATCACCAATAAAAGCCTGGGCACGCTAAACCCATAAAGTCACATTACTGAATATAGGATAAAGGTGAGTAAGTAATATTTGCCTTTAAACGGTCAAAGTAAAATCACCTAAATAAACTAATATATAAGTGACAACGCGGTCTAGTCTAGTCATATAATTGAAGAGAAAAAGAAAATGGTATTAATGGGATAGTAGATATCTAGCGATGGTAATAGTGTCGGCAGCAAAAGAAGGGCAGAACTAAAGATACAGATAAGGGCGTCTGGACTGAGTACTAAGATGTCTAGGGGTTAATGGTACCTCCCTACAAAATGGAAAAAAGGGGAGATAAATTAAAGGATATAACTATACCAAAGTAGAATATGCACCCTTATTCTAAACAGATGTAAGGAGTGAAGTAACCCCTATCAATCTCAAGTTGACATAGATAGCCACAACAGAGGTAGCAAGAACCATAATATAATCAGTAAATAAAGCTACCTAAAAATTGGTAAACCTATCCTAGTGGAGTAAAGTATCTCTAAAAGTTAAGAGAGATCCTAGTATGCCCTATACTGACTAGCCCAAAATGGCAAAAGCTTACTGCTGCTTCATGGCAGCCTAACGAAGTCCCTAGAAAACTAATAGTAATGCTCAGTGCATGACAGACGCCATGGGAGCACAGGTAGATACAGAAAAAGAAAAGGTAAGTTTAAAATAATAGCATTGACTAATATCAGTTCGACGCGCATTTCGGCGTGTTCAATACGCCTTTGTCAAGAGCTACCTGACATGTGAATTAGGAACCGCTTATAAAGGAGTGAGTACACGCCCCTCAAGGTGAAGCCTCCAATCAAAACGCTCTAGTTCAAGAAGAGTGACAGATTCCTCCCCAATGATCTGGACCAATCAGAGGAGGGGGGCGTAGTAACCACAATCTCCGTGTCTAAAAAAGAGGGAGGGGGTAAGGGAGTGGGGAGGGATCAAACGTAATCACTGTAAAGCGGAATGGAATGAGGTACAAAGATAAAATGAACCGGAACAAAATAAAACAAAATACAGAACGGTAACATATGAATAAATAAATGAAATAGTAATATTATTATTATTATTAAAGATGGTACATCCGTTCAAGCCCGTTGGAAAACAATTGTTACTTTAATATTTACTGACACTGTTGCCATGAAGTTCTATGAATGTAACAAAATGTTGCAGAATCATACAAGTAACCAAAAAAGGAAAATCATAGAGCGTACCAACTGTTAAAGGGAATATAGAAATGAAATAAATAACATCTAAACAAATAGTCCCTAGACCTTGACTATTATTAACCCCCATCTCAATGGTCTGGGAACCTTATATATAGATAATATCTAGAGCAATGGTATAAATTCATGCAGGGTGTAAATTATCTATTTAGTTCCATCTAAACAGTCCGGCGTCACTAGTTCATTTATCACAATGTCTGAAAGCATTAAGTCAGTGCACCGACGGAGGTTTATACTGGAAAAAATCTGGATAATATAGGTGACCAACATACAGCATTTGAACTTATAAATTACAATAAACCGAAAAAGAAGTGTATGAGACCATGCTTACTGGTCAAATGGTCCCTGGGAAAAATGCAAAGAAGTACAAGTTAGACCAAGCATAATAAAATAATACAGAAAGTCCCTTAAAGGACTAGATACAAATTCCAAAGCTGAATTTACTGCTCATGAAAAAAGGGATTATAATAGTTATGGTTCATATTAAATATACAGTGATGTAAGGAGGAGGCAAAACAGTAACTGAATAAGGGTACCTAAATTCACATGTCAGTGTAAAGATTATTAATTTACCATGAAATGTATACTGAAAATGATCACTACAACTAAATTTACTAGATAATAAGGCCAGTTTGAAGGCTGTAGATACAGTGTGTAAGCTAAATAGTAAAGAATGTACAGTAAGATGAATGAGATCAATTATCGAATGAATCAAATAAATGGGGAGAAAGAGAATCCTTCGTTAAGACCTCTTGGATTAAGGGTATTCAATTTATAAATCCATCTACATTCTTTTTGACGTAGAATTTTATCAAAATCCCCCCGTCTCTGTTCACGTTTAACAAGCTCCAGGCCACAGAAACGTATATGTCTTTAGAAGACCCACCATGCTGTTCCTTTAAATGTCTTGAGATGGGGGTGTCAAGTCGATTCTTGGGGGATCTAACGTGTTCCTTGATACGTTCTTTGAATGGCCGGAAGGTTTTGCCTACATACATCAATTTGCAACTACAGGTAAGTAGATAAACCACCCCTGCAGAATTACAATTAAAGAAATTAGTAATTTGAAAGGATTGTTTACCTTCGCTATCGCTCACTTCTTTTGAATCTCTGAGAATGTACTTGCAGGCTACACATCTTCCACAGCCATATGATCCTACAAGGATTCTGCGTCCGAACCAAATAGTATTAAAGGATTGTTTAATTACGAAGTTGCTGGCTACAAGGATATCACTAAGGTTCTTACCCCTGCGGGCCGTGATGGTAACTTGTGGGCCCAAAATTTCTTTCAGATGGGTATCCTTGAGTAAAATAGGCCAGAATTTTTGAATAGAGCGTTTCACCTCGTCCCAACCTATGTCAAACGTGCCAATCATCCTAATAGTTTTGTTGGTAGCCTTATTTGACACGGGAGGGTCTGACAGGAGATCTGCCCTGTCGGTTGTCAATGCTCTAAAATTGACCCTCTTGAGAAACCTGTTAGGGTAGCCCTTCTCTTTGAATTGTTGTCTCATGATTTTGGCTTTAATTTGAAAGTCCTTTAAATCTGTGCGGTTACGTCGTAATCTGAGGTACTGTCCAGTGGGGATACCCTGTTTTAGAGGGCTTGGATGGAAACTATTCCATTTGAGAAGGGAGTTGGATGCGGAGGGTTTCCTAAACAGAGAGGTCTTAAGAGAACCATCCTTAGAGAATGAAATTGTGAGGTCAAGAAAGTTCAAAGACAAACCACCAAACTCCGCAGTGAACCTGAGATTGTCCTTGTTAATGTTGAGGAGGGACACGAAGCTGTCAAACTCTTTACTATTACCCTGCCACACTAAAATGACATCATCAATGTATCTGTACCAAAAAAGAATTTTGGACAGAAAAGGTAACAGATGAATAGATGTCTTAATATGTTCCTCCCACCACCCTAGGTAGAGGTTGGCATAAGAGGGTGCGCACGTGGTACCCATTGCCGTGCCCTGTATCTGGTGGTAGTACTTATTGTGGAACAAAAATAATTGTGGGATAGAATACATTTCAGTAGTTTGAGAGTAAAGGTGGTATGTGCTTGCTGTTCAGGGCCCCTTTTGTCAAGAAAGTGTTTGACATGCTCAATACCCCTATGATGTGGGATAGAGGAATATAGCGCCTCAACATCAAGGCTACATAAATAGGCCGTAGGTTCAATATGAAGGTTCGAAAGAAGGGAAAGTGCCTGCTTGGTATCTCTAATATAGGAGGGTAAAAGTTCGACAAATGGTCTGAGAATCTGGTCAATATAAAGGCTGCCGTTTTGGGTTAAATTATCAACCCTAGGGGGCGGAGCTTGACCGCCAAGCGGAGTGGACGCGGACTGCATGAGCTCCTGCCCGACGGGCAAAATCAAACGAAGAACCCACAATTAAAAACCCACAGACATATCAGGGTGCACTCCCCAAGCTAGGGGTGCACCACATAAGCGACAGTCACACGCCCGCCGCCCATCGGGGCCGGGAGCACTGGACGCCCTCCGTGGACTACAGGAGCCGGCCGCTTCCCCCGAGCTCGGAACAACTCGGCAAACAACTTACCCGCCCCCCCGGACTGGTAGGAGTCATCTCGGTCCTCCCCAGCAACAACAAGCACACTGGAGGACGGGCCGCGCAGACTGTAGGGGTGCAACACAGCCAAGGCACAGACAAGATGGCGGCCCAGCACAGGCCCCAGACGAAAGACACAGACACCCAGCCATCACTCCAGCCCATAGCAGCACTAGATCGGCTCTGTAAAAGCTTTTGGGCAATACTCCGCAGCAGCGGAGCCACACACGTTCAAGCTATGAGAGCAGTGGCCACCAGATGCCGCCATTATGACGCCATGCTGAGGGTCCGCAGAACAACTGCCCGGTGGACCAGCCTCAAACGACCAGCAAAACAGGAAACATTACCCGGGCATACGGGCGCAAACACCCGACCTCACCCACGCAGGAACCTAAGTGCTGCACAGGCCCCACAAGCAAGTTCCTCGCTGTGCCCGAGACTCAGAGCCCAGCGCGGCATTCTGGGGCCCTCTGCGGTTGCAGCCGCCTACCGGATCACAGTGAGCATGTCCACACTGACACCCGTTGGAGACTCTGAATCACAGCATAGAGGTGCCACTGAATCCACCTGTCAACACAGATTGGGCCCACAGGAACACCTGAATCGCCTTACAGGGAACGCAATCAAAGCATCCAGAACAGGCATCGGCTGATGCAACCCGGATTGCAGCACGCGACCCTGCCTACAAAGCAGAGACTCTCTCTCCCCAAGGACAGAGGCCAAAGTACCCCAGTTGCATCCTCTTATCTACTTAATCGTGATTAATCGTTACAACCTTTTAGCTTACTCTTGCCACAGTGAGGCTCAGAGAATACTCTCAACCTACACAGCTGGGCAGACATAGGCACCTCATACATATGTATACACCTGTCATATGCCCAGTGAAGTGTAAATGTAAGCTTTTAGTAAACTCACACAGCCATATGTGTCTAGCCTTGAGCACAGCTACCACTGTATGCATGTTTAGCATAGATACCTCCTTACAAATTGTTCTTTCTACTGATGAGTATACAGTTATCTAGCTTGCAATATTCTTGAATGTTCAGCCTGACAATTTAATCACCTAATGCGTGTCCACGATGTTATATAGCCTACTGACTCTCTTTGAAATAGTTGATCTAGACAGGCATTGCTTCTGGGTATAATATGTTTATGCTACACAACAAGCCAAAAAAAAATGAGGCTTCGCTACTCAGGAAATGTAGTTTCTTCAAATGAATGATGTACGAACCCTCCACTGTAAACCATTATTGCATTTCCCTCTCTTTATTTTGTACCCACTTTGTATGCCTCAATAAAAGAAAGATTGACAAAAAAAAATTATCAACCCCAGACACTATTGGTCGGCCAGGTGGATCCTCGAGGCTTTTGTGGACCTTTGGCAGGCAGTAGAAGGTTGCTGTCCTCGGATGATGGTTCAAAATAAAGTAATATTCCTCGTCAGAGAGCAACCCTCCACTGCGGCCTTCGTCCAAAATATCCTTATAACCTGCGAGGAAGATGTTAGTCGGATCAGAAGGCAGAATAGTGTACGTGTCTGTGTTCTCCAGTACATTCAAGACCATTCGCTCATACTTGGAAATATCCATGACCACAACATTTCCCCCTTTGTCTGCCTGTTTAATAATTAATGTCATTATCCTTAAGTGATTTAAGGGCAGTCTGTTCCCTATTTATGTGACGTTTTACATTAAGGAGGTATATTTGAATGGGTTGGATTTTCCACCTACTCTGTGTGAGTGGATTCTCTACCCCATTTTTTCTCTTCTCATTGCTGTAATTTTCTGGGGTTAAGCCCCCTATACCTCCTGTAACCTTTTCTGGGGTGGTGGTGATGGTTTTCCACTCCTTAACCCCTTTCTTCTATACTTCTTTTATACCTTTTGTATTTACTATTGTTTTACTAATGTTCAGTTTGTATTTCTCAGCATTCTGTTATTTTTCCTCGCAAACTAAATTCTACAATAGCATTTTCAGATGTGACCCTAATACCATCATCCAAAATAGAAGAAAACATATGTTCACATTTGTAGTGAAATTATGTGCATATGTTTCTGTGTTTAAGGTGTTTAAAATGCCTACTGCATATGGCTAATTAACCTGGTGGCCATTCACTGCGTGAAGCACATGTGCAATGAGGCTTCGAAATGATATGCTTGTGACGTTTGAAAATTCTTTCTTGTTCACACTTTGTGGAACAAACACACTCCTCACGCCTACTGTCATCAGCAGATTCAAGTCATTGTAATGCATGTTTTTGGAATCTCAATTTAATAAGCTGTATATTAAATACATATATTTAGTAAAGTCATTACCCCAAAAATATTTTTTCTATTTTTGCACATAATAACAACTTTAACAATATGTTAGATGAACATGAGACATGTGCATTTCATGTCATAGCAATCAATAAAATAAAACGTTCTATTGCTTTGAAAGAGACTGCGGTCCAGATGAATGTCTCCATGTTTACTGCTGTACTGGTCAATACTTATACAGAGTTAGTAGCTGGTATACTAGGATGTGTTAGTAGATATTATCAGTTTATACGGGAGAGACAACATTGTTGTATACTGCTCACCTTTTAGAATATTATATGCAGCCTACATTCTGGGTCGGTGCAAAGAGTTTTGGTTACACAGATGAAGATGCATTTTGCTGCCCCCCTCAAAATGCATCTTCATTTGTGTGTCTTTTAACCCCCTTTTAAATTTAATACCCCCTTTTGTGGTTCTTATTGTCTCTGTTAAATGTCTTACCCCCTATTGTATATCTTATTTCCATATTTTGTCTCACACACCAATTATCACCTATTTTTCCCCTTTGTGTGTCTGACACCTTCCTTGTGTGTCTCGTACATTCCTCAGCCCCTTTGCTTCTCTCTTACTTTTCCTCAACATATTTGTGGGTCTCTTACATTCTCAAGCCCCTTTGTGTGTCTCTTACTCCCCCCAGTATATTTGTCTGTCTCTTGCTAGATCCCAGTTACTTTGTCATATTTTCCCCTTCCACAGCTTCTCTGTGTTCCCCCACACATTTTATCTTTCTCCCCTTCCCCATCCATTCTGGGTCTCTCTTTCTCCCCTTCCCCAGCACATCTGTGTGTTTCTATCTCCCACTTCTGCAGCCTCTCCGTGTGTTTTTTTGATCCCTTCCCCAGACCCTCTATGTGTTTCATTTTCCCCTTCCATCTGTGTCTCTCTATATTCTCTTTCCAGCCCCTCTGTGTGTCTCTTTCTCCATTACTCAGCCCCTCTGTGTATCTCCCTTTCCCAAGCTCCACTCTGTGTCTCTTTGTCCCTGGAAACCATCTGTGTCTCGTTATCCTTCCCAGCCCCTCTGATTGCTTCTTTGTCCCCTCAAACCTCTGAGCATGCCTCTTTATCCTCTTCCCAGCCCCTCTGTGTACCTCTTTGTCCCCTCAGCCCTCTGTGTGACTCTTTGCACACCAGCCCATTTGTGTGTATCTTTGTCCTCCCAAGCCCCTCCGGGTGTATCTTTGTCCTCTCAAGCCCCTCTGTGTGTTTCAAAGTCTCCCCAAGTCCCTCTGTGTACCTCTTTGTCTCCCCAAGCCCCTCTGTGTGTCTTTTTCCTCCACCCGCCTTTATGTACTACGTGTAGTGTGTCTACTCGGACCACAGTAGAGAATCTTCTGTATTCTCCCAGTGAGCAGTTCCTGTCTCCTATAGAAGATCCACTATTGCGGTCTGCACATCCACGTAACAAGTAGTGACTGGCAGGATGGGAGATCTGTGGTGATCTGCTGGTCACCCAAACATTGCGCCCCATGGACCGGTGCCCCCTTAGGTGGCTGCCTGTACCTCCATATGGTTGTGCTGGCCCTGCCTACTTAAGTTTATATGGTGACAACAAACCATCTGACAATGGGTTTTATTCACTAAAGTCCATATTATAGTGAATTTGAATCTGAATGGCTAAATTTAATAGCCAAACTGAATAGCACCTCCAGTCAGTAGGAGTGTTTGCATTTTACATTAGTTTACATTTGGGAGAGTTAAAGATAAGGACACTATAGTCACCGTAACAACTACAACTTAAAGGATTTGTTCTGGTGAGTATAATCAGTCTGTTCAGGCTTTTTGCAGTAATCACTGTCTTTTCAGAGAAAAGGCAGCGTTAACATTGCAGCCTAGGGATAACTCCACTGGCCACTTCTCAGATGGCTACTAGATGTGCTTCCTGGAGCAATGCCATTCAGTGTCTCCACCCTCTGCATGGAGACACTGAACTTTCCTTACAGAGATACATTGATTCAATTAATCTCTATGAGGAGCTGCTGATTGGCTAGGGATGTGTTTGGCTTGTGATGGCTCTGCCCCTGATCTGTCTCCTTGACAGTCTCAGTCAATCCAATTGTTTACTATGAAAAAGCATTGGAATTGGCTCAGATCATCACTTCTGATAATGTCAGCCAAGCAGGCAGATCAGGTTCAGAGCCAGCAGCAGATTGGAATAGGTAAGATTTTACTTTATTAAGGGGGGCAAGAGAGGGCCATGGGGGCTATATGGTAGTTTTTAACACTATACGGTCAGGAATACACATTTGTGTTCCTGGCCCTGTAGTGTTCCTTTAAATTGCAATTATAATTGTCAATAAAATATTTACAAACCTTCAAATTAAATCATGTAACAGATTTAATGGAATATTTTGGAATTTCAGTACCATGTTCTTTGAGGTATAATACATTTTTTAATATAAAGATCAAATCAATAGCTCTGGCTGCTCATTCCACTCATTTAATTAGTAATGAGAATGGCTGGAATAATACCATCTATCACAAAATGTTTACTTTTGTGTATGCATATTTCTATTGGCAGAAGATTAAAAGTAGTGGGCATATTTTGGCAAAAAAAGTTGGATAATAAATATAAAAAATATCTTATTTTAGATTATTTTTCAATTATACAAAATAAATATTTACAAATCTTCTAATTGCAAAAGCAGACCAGTGCCTTGTGCCAGTTCAACCCAAACACTCTAGGAAAATTCTTCTCACACAGAACTAACCAATCTAGTGAGTAACGACACTTCAATAAATAATAGATAGTACTTAAAATTAAGGTAACACTACTGTTCATGCACACCTTTACCCCCACGCCAGGCCAGACTCACCCTGGCTCTGCCTTCATGGCTGAGATCATCAATTGTTATGAGTGTCACGAACACACCCTACTTCAAGAGTGTGCTTGATGTAGTTGTGGTGGTAAAAAAGGGCTTAAGTTCACTATTTGTCTGCACTAGACCGGAAATAATGATAAAAATCTCTCTTAACACCACCCACACTTAACCATAATAATAATAATAATAATAATATTACTATTTTAATGCTACCACCACCAAGACAATTTATAAATGGGTTGCCTTGGTCCCCCAGGTAACTTAATAATAAAAACCTACCAGATACAACTTAGCACAATACCTATGCAATTGCAAAACACCCATTAATTACAAAAATATAGATGACAATCAAATTAGTTACACCAACAACAGATAAAAACAAAATGGATAAAATAACAGAAATCCTAATCACTTACTCTGGTTTTTATAGTAAAACTTCTGCCCAGGGGGTTACTGGTAAGGTAGATGGTAACTCCCTCAGAATTAGATTCTGGCCCCCAAGCAAGTACAAT